TCCTACTCCTACTCCTACTCCTACTCCTGCTCCAGTTGTTGTTGCTCCTGTTCCAAAACGCAAAGAAACCGCTCCTGTTCGATTCAGTGTCACTGAATCTACAAAATGGACCGATGTGAGTTTGCAAGTGACCGATTTGAAGATTTCATCGTATTGCTGTAACGATTTGAATGCAATTAATCTGAATCGATTCAAGCAGCTACGATCTATCGAAATCGGCGATGAATGCTTTTCAAGAGTGAAAACATTCAAAATCGATGGATTGAATCGATTGAAAACTATCAAAATCGGAAACAATTCGTTTACTCAGGAAAAGTATAGTTGGGGAAAAAATGAATTGAAATCATTCCACATATTGAATTGTAAATCATTGGAATCCATTCAAATTGGTGAATATAGTTTCAGTGATTTTGGAGGAGACTTTGAATTGAAGAATCTACCACAATTACAATCCATTCAAATTGGGACAATTGGAAGTTATTCATACAATTTCTATTATAGTTCGTTTTTGATTCGAGGTATTGACATGATATTGAATATTTAATGGATGTATAGATCTTCCAAATCTACAATCCATTACATTAGGTGATCATGTATTCCATGATTGCCTGTCAACCATAATTGAAAGTATTGAATGAATTCGAATGAAATGATTGATATAGACCTTCCATCATTACAATCCATTCGACTCGGTGAATGGACACTTGGAGGAAGTTTGTGGTATGATTCAACTTCATTGGCACTTCGAAGTAATAATGAATTGATTGGTTATGATTTGCTTTGTAGATCTTCCAAATCTAACATCAATAACATCTTGTCTCTTTGGATATAGTTTTCGCTATGCTCGTGCAGTGACATTGGAAAGTATTTCTGAAAATTGAATATTGATAGTATTTAGATATTCCAAATCTTCAAAATGTCGATCTACCTGGTTCATTCGAGTATGTTCGATCGAAATCAATTTCGAGTATAGTTTGATTGATTTGATTTGATTCATAGATGTTTCTTCCATTCTCGCTAATCTTGTCCAAGTCAATCAAGAATACCATCATTAGATCGTCACTGTCGATTCAATTTAGTATAGTGGTCATTGTTATTTCAATGCTTACTTTGTTTGTTCCAAGCCCCTTACCTTCATTTATTCATTTAGGATTCAACCATCGATTGATTCATTTTCATCAACACAATATAGAATGGTTTAGCTATTATGTTTCTATCCTTCGTGTATTCAATGCTAAGAATAGAAATAATAGATTAATTAGTCATGGAGGAATAATACTGAGATCGTCGAGCAAAATTCGATGTTTGATATTGAAATGTGTTATCCTTGACAAATCACTATATTCTGAGCGGTTGCATTAAGATCTTCAAGGGAATGAACTGGATTATACTTTTTTATCTTATGGAATGTTATATTTGGAACCAATTTGAAATGTATACAAAGATAACCGTTTACTCAACCAAGATTGATAAAGTTACAGTGAGCTTATTTAGGTGTTTAAAAATGCTTGTTTGTTTTACTTTACTATTTCTCTATAGATATAATAGTGACTATTTTGACTCTATAAATTACACTGCCAATCTAGTTAGTTATAATAGCACTAGATGGACTGTATTTCATTCTATTCTTCTTTTGTGATATCGGGTATGACTTATAGTAGTAGGGGAATGACGGGAAACGCGCGGAACCCAAAGTCGCCCCTCCGACCTCATCTACGAGAGTGCGCGGCTCAAAGTCGCCCCTCTGACCCCATCTTTGTTTTCGCGTATTCCCGTCAGAACACAAAAAATCCCCCAAAGTCACCCCTCAGACCCCCTCAACTGGTACCTTGATTTTTGCGTTTCATAAGAATTTCAGCACTCATGAGTAAAACACGAGTGCTGAAATGTGCGATATCCATGACTATTATGGTTGTTATTGCTGGTCAATGTGATCATTTTCTGCCATTTTCGACCATTTTCTGCTATTGCCTGCCTGGCTACCTTATTGTCCATAACAAGAAACGCGCGGAAACCCATGGCTGCCAATTTCAGCAAATTTCTGCAATGTTAACCTGACTTCCATTGTAGGCCATGGTATCCATGGATGTGATGGGGCAACGAGGGACGACTTCGTCGTCCCGGGGGAGCTATGCTCCCCCACGTACGTTGCCCCGGGAGGAATCTTCGATTCCTCCCCATTGTCTTGTTGACTAAGGTAAAGAGAGAAAGACCATGCACTACTCCATGCTTATTCAAGGCTCACCTACCAACGGCTCATTTACATGGGTTAATCCGTACAAGTACAAGAATCCCTATATCACTTCCATGACTGTCCTGTTTCATCCTAATGGTTCGATGTTTAATAACGTAGACACGACCAATGTGGTTACTAACAGCAATAACGAGACTGTGACAATCCCTGCTGGTTATTACACGATCAGTGAGATCATTGCCTTGCTCAATACAATGTCTGACACGCTGTTCTCCATATCTACGAATGCCTCGTCATTCGGTTGTATCTGGATTCAGTCCCCACACACCATTGACTTCACAGATGCACCTGACATTCGTGAGATACTCGGTTTGGAAGGACGAACGATCATTCTACCTGCTTCGTTCAGTGGATCGAACGTGATTGATATCACGCGAAATCGCCAAGTGATCCAGGTCTACTCGACGATCGTGCGATCATCGGACCTGAAGATTGCCAACCAGAACAACAACCTGCTCACCACGATGATCATTGACGATCCAACGGTTGATTATGTGCGAAGTGTGGAAGACGTGTGTATACCAATGATCACTCGGTTTGATCGGTTGATGTTCGTGTTCCGCGATATGGATGGCAAGATGCTACGACTGAACGGCGAATTCGAACTCCAGTTGACGATTGAGGATGTGTACGAGCAAAGTGAAAATAGCGTCACTTCTGCTAATCAGTTCTCCATGATTGAAGTGTTCGGCAATACCACGAAGAAGGAAGTGAAGCTGGACAATCCTCTCTCATTCGATCAGTGCTACATCTCGTCTGTGTCGTTGTATACGGACTTCGTGTTGCACAACGTGCCGACTGATCAAGTGGTGCTAATCAATGCTGGCAGTACGATTCAAGAGATCACGATACCACGCGGTGCATACGACATCGAAACGATCATTGCAAAGCTGAATGCAAGTGATGCCCTGTTCGAATTGGTGTATAGCGGTGAGAATGCGTTCCACATCACGGTAGATCATTTCTACATGATTGATTTCACGAATGCACCAGAGATCCAATCGATCCTTGGTTTCGAATCGGACATCTTGGTGAAAGGAGTGGATAACCCGAAGCGCTACTACATGTCTTCCTCGTGTAATCACGTGGTTGTTACTGATGGCAGGGAATCGCACATGTTGACATTGCCTGTCGGTTACTACACGTTCAGCGAGTTCATCGAGGCTGTCGGTGCTGAGATGGTGAAAGTGCTTCCACTCACATCCATGACGATCGAGAATGATCATGTTCGCTTCAATGTCCAAGCAGACGGATGGTATTTCGATCGATCCAGTGTTGACACGACGATCAATGGTTTTGGTTGGACTCCATGGTTCAAGCTGTCTCCATCTGTGCAGAACCTGTGCATCGAACGACCAGTGGAAGCTTCGTTCAACCCTGAAAGCGATTCACCACCTGATATGACGAATGATCAAGGTATTGGTGGTCATGCGTATATAGGATCAAACACCTTCATTGCGTATGACTGGAAAATGCGTACGAATGATAATCGGTTCCTGCTAAAGCCTCTCGCGACATACACGATGCGTTTAGCTGATGGTTCAGTACTCGATAGTGGTGAATTCTACATAACGGACGATACGTCTACCCCGATCAAGATGAATACTCTTACAACCACATGTTTTAATGAACTCAATGCTCGATATGCGAGTGCTATGGAACTACCTCCATCTCACCAGAATGCGATTGCGTGGACGGTGAATGACAATAGAGAAAGCATGTCATGGACTGCGAAGGACTATGCACCAGAATTGGAATTGCATATAACATCGGAAAATACAGGTGACTTGGTGTCATCGAATGGTTCTTCGATCGGACCTTGGTATTCCAAGGATAGTATATATCACACGAAAGTGTTTATCGATACGACGAATTTTATACTTGGAATACGTGGATATGGCGAAAGACCTCTCACAATCCAACGAGGTCATTATAGCGCTATTGATATCGTGAATATGATCGCTAATGTGATCAATAAGATATTTGTAGATGCGTCTCTCGGAAGGTACTTGGTATATGTCATTGCAGATAATGGTGGTCGAGTACGAATGGGATGTCGAAATGGTACAGAACCACGATTCATATTGTTTTGTGATAATCCATGTTTCAAGATTATACCCGGACCATACGCTGAACCAGGTGGTGTGTATTTGTCTTGTTATTTCGAGTTTTATCGCAATTACTACATCAGGATGCCCGAGTTGACATCACCTTACGAGTTTGCGATGGCAAACATCGATGGTCTGAATGTGACGAATATGATCAAAGGTAGTACGTATTCCGATCGTGCTGTGTCGATCGAATTCATACAACCGACACGTGTTACGTATGTGGGGAAGCAAAGCTTCCCCGCGGCAGCGAAGCTGCCCCACTATGTGAGGAATGATGAAGTTGTTGTTCCATCATTGGCTACCTTCGTTGACTGGGAACAATCTGAGTCGTACACGGCTAACACGACGATTCGCTTCCCGTACGGAATGATGACACTGGACGAAGAGGGAAGCAGTGCTTCCCCCGAGACTGATATCACGTACACAGATGACGTTCAGACATTCACGTGGACCATACCATCACGATTGACACAGGCTGACATGATATGGCACATGAACCAGTGTTTTGACTCGGCTGCACTGAACATACGATGGAAAGCTGAGACAGATGGGTACTACATTCACGCTGACTACGTGTTCTCGTTGAGTGGTAACCTGGGAACCATCGTTCCCGCTTCAGGATCGCAATCGCATACATGGCGTATCCCTTTCGACGATGGTGTGTACTATGCCAACTAGGTCCGATGGTTGCCGAGTATCCTGTCGATATCACGAACGGTCTATCGAACATACAGCTGTATTGCAACATCGTGAAAAGCAAGACGATACCACTGCTTGTGAATGTCCCGATGGACAGCTTGTACAAGAATTACTTCTACAAGAATCGCATGTTGGTACCATGTTCTGAATTGCTTGATCGCATCGTGTACGAATTGAAGGACGAAAATGGTGACCCGCTATCGTTCATTGGGAACGTGTACCTGCTAATCGGATTCACCGTTTCAGGAGGAAATAATAAATGAATCTAGTGTTCAATATTGCTCGCTCGAGCGGGCCGCCAGTGTGCGTGGAAGCTCATCAAAAGCGACATGGTAATCGATCGAGTGACTATGAAGGGAGAATCGCCTGGCACCTGTCTTGTCCTTGATCGAGTGAACAACATGCAAGAACGACGACAGTCTCCGTTGGTTGTATTGAACGAAGGAGGGGGAAGCTTCGCTTCCCCCGGGGAGTCTACGACTCCCCACACGTACACGGAGAATGCACACATGAACGTCGTGGTACCCAAAAGTCGCAAATGGTCATTCTCGTTGACCGATAAGACCGGTGCAACGATTGCCCTGCCAATGCCGATTACAGTGTGCATTCACTTCTACACAATAAATGAGTCATAATCGTGCACTACCGGTAAGTGTGATTAACCACAATACAGTAATTCCGAAGAACAACGAACGATACCATGAAACGTTCAACACAGTGATCATGCCTCGTGACCTTGTGTACAAGATCACTTCGATTACATGCAAGATCGATACAACGTCTCTATGGAACATTCGTGCAATGAATGTGGTGAAGGTTCAAATGCTGTCAGGGTTTGAAATGGTGTACAACGTCGGTCCTGGCTACTACTCGATTACCGAGTTATGCCGTGCGATAGCCGATTCCATCCAGGTAGACGATGTTAACCGAGCATACTTGAACAGTGATGTGGCGACCGCTGTTGACCTTAGTGGCGCACCTGATTACACGAGTATCCTCAAGTTGGAAGGTATCGTTGAGGCAGGTATGGTAGCGAGTGAACCCTACGACATCACGAATGGCATGAGTGTGATCCGAGTCTACAGTAGTATCAATGCTCAAACATTCGGTCTGAAGAGTCCGTTGATCGATAACCTGATTCATGTATCGATGGGACTGAACAACATGATCACCTGGGACAACCTATCGATCGATGTGATTGAACAATCGAACCTGGACTACATTGACTGGGTACTGACAGATGCGAATGACCGTCCGATTTCCTTGAACTCCAATGTGTATATCTCATTCACGATATCTTGTTACACCAAAGTAAAGAAGGGGAGACGGCAAAGTCGCCCCACATTGTTCCTCCCATAGTAAATGGATGAATACGTTGCTACAATTCCAATCATTCGATACAAGCCACACAAAGTGAAGTCGAGAAACATGATGGACAAAATGTTGAATCGTTATTTCGATAAAGTCGTTGAAAGTGAATTCAATCAACAGCGAATGAGGAGCGAACAATGGCGACAGAAGCGAACCTTGTTTGATTCGTACATGAATCTCTCACCCGCTGAACGTCGCCGTGTATCCGTCTCTGACATGCGTGGATATCAAATGCAGCGAATTGACGATGAGAACGTACTGTTGTACTCATTCGAGGACAACGTGGTCTACAATGCTAAAATTGACAAACAATTCAACAAGATCATTGTCCAGTCTGTGAATCACGAGTTGTCTGACATGGAGAAACGAGCTATCTTTGATAATCCATTTGGATATGAACCTGTATCACCCTATCGTATCCGCTACCAGAGATCACAGGTTGGCGAATTACAAATCGTGAATATAACTGGTGATCTTGGAACTAGCATCAACGAAATGAAGAATGCTGCTGATGCCATAACGGGTGCAGCTCAACAGATGGGAGATAGTATCAACACAGTTACTCAACAGAATGCAGCGATTATCAATGATTTTGCTGGCTTGCGAGACGATGTGACAGAACAAGGTGATCCAAATCGAGATGTCCTGTATTGGAATGACGATAATACTACGGCATATAAAAGAGGTGTGACACACACTACGAAACGAGGTAGTACGAAATATAGAGATTTGGTAGCTGAAGGTCGCGTTGAACGTGATCGGTGGTTGATCAAACCTGAACAACAACCTCTGAATGTGACGAATCAGATCGTACAACAGATGGATGTGACGTCCATTATCACCAAGTTGGATGAAGTGATTGCTGTGATGAACAGCTTTGATATCCAGGTGAACCTTGGCAATATTTATAATGCAATAGCTTATGTAGCACAACGAATCAATTTCCTGGAAGATAAGGACAAGGGTTATCCTAAGATGTTAGAATTGTTGGAAGGTGTACAAACAAAATTGACAAATACGAACGATGGAATCAAGTCGTTGAGTGATAAGTATGCTGAAGTGGCAACAAGCATTGCAACAGGAGATGACAATTTGATCCAGAAAATTGGTGACTTGGTAAATCAACAGAAGGCTGTGATTGAGGAGAGTAATAGATATCTGCAAGGAGTCGAAGCTCGTCTCCAAGGAATTGAAAACAAACCTGATCCTCCTGCAATTGCTGATATCCAAGCATTGATTCCAACACAAAGTGAAATGCGAATTGATGGATTGACAGAGTTCATGAAGGCGCAGTACAATGATTTCTTGAAACAATGGCTAGAGCGAAACAGCTTCATTCAGCAATTTGTATCTGCTGAGTTGGCAAAAGCATATGATGAAATCAACAAACGGTTGGTTGAATCATTCAATACATTCACACCTTTGATTCAAAACGTGTCCAATGAATTGCAGACTACGAATCAGAATCTGATAGCTCTTGGTAATGCGGTTGCAGAAGAGGGAAAGGCAACTAGGAAACAACTATTGGATGGTACGAATGCTCTGGGCAACCAATATGAACAAGGACAAGCTCAAGCAACCAAGTTAATCAAAGATTCTACGGGTGCAATTGTTAATCAACTCACTGACAATCAGACTCAAACTAACAACCTATTGACAAATGTTGGTAATGCAGTTGTTGATGGACATGCTCAAACTGGTCAGCTGCTTACTACAATGAGTAATCATTTTGCTGATACTCAGCTGTCCCGGGAACAATTATATCAACAATTGTATCAGCAGAATATGAGAGGAATCCAGAACTTAATGGATGCCATTTGGCAATCATATGAATATTTCCGGAATCAGCCACAAATTCAACCTGTGATTGTACTGGACGGTCGTCAATCTGAAAGTGTAAATGCTAGTTTCACACCTCAAGCAATCGATCAAGTGAATCGAGCTGCAGCCTTGATTGACGCGTATGAAAGTAAAGATTCTAATGACACCAAGGAAAGTTGGGAAAGCGATGATACTCGCGAAGATTTCATTGCTTTCTCAAGTTTGCTTGCTCGCAATTTCAACAATCCTGTTTTCGCTCAATTTGCTAATGACCTTGGATTCTCACGTCTCTTCAGGGCTTATCGTGATCGAAATGAAGACCCCGAACTGATGAGTTTCTTCATACGAGTAGCTAATAGTAAGGATCTAACTCCTGATTATTTGGACTACATGAAAAACAAGATCAAACGGTTTGCTGTCAATGTAGATCAACAATTCGAGCAATATCTGCAAAATACGTACAACACGATCAAGGATATGTTCATTACACAGGGTTTCAATGGCTAATGAATATATCTTTGATCTTCTTTTCACTTTGTAGGCATGGGGCACTTCGTGCCCCCGGGGAAATCTACGATTTCCCCATACATAAATGGCAATTCCATTCACTGTTGATATATCTGCCTTTTATGGCGAACCCGATTTCCGAGAACAGGATAGTGGAACGATTGTGGATCGACGCAAGACATTGAATCTACACAAGGAACTCGAAGCACCAGTGCAATCAAAGCGATCACGAAAGCGAACACCAAAACGAGCTAGTAAGACGAAAACAGCTGGTGCTATTGCTTTCAATGGGGCGACCAAGGACACCGGTGGAGCCATTGCTTTCAAGGAAGGTGGTGCATGTCAGACAGACTCTAAATCCGCTGGAGCACTGGCATTCAATGAAGCGCAATTGATGAACGAGCTGACCGGACTAAAGAAAGGCGGAGCACTTGGTACCATCGCTGCCACGATCATCCCAGCGCTCATTCAGATGGCTCCACAGATCATCTCGAGTCTCAAAAGTTTGATTAGTGGTAAGGAGGGAGGTGCACTCAAATTCGGAGGAGCTTCTGCTGTGTTCCTCAATGGAATCAACCCTAGCGATTACGACGACGTGTTGAAGACCATGAAAGCCATCGAACGACAAAGTAAAAACATCGAAGTCCGAGGTGGAGCCTTGTACGCCGGTTCAAGTCGTGTTGGCACGTTCTTCAAGAATGCCTGGAACAAGATCAAAGGTTGGTACGACAACAATGCCGACAAGTTAAAACCCATCACCGATATCCTGGTCAATGCTGGCACGAATGCCGCGAACAACGCGATCAACAAGGGTGTGAACTATGTATCCCAGAAGACAGGATCGGACACCGTGAAGCAGCTCGCGAATGTGATAGGTGACATGGCGAAGGGTACGGTTAGCGATGTGGCAAACCAGATTCAGGGCAAGGAAAGCAAAGCCGGCACTGGTTACGATATTTCTGACCTGGACAACGAGACACAAGCAATTGAAGTCCCGACGAAAAAAAAGAATCGCATCCTCACAGCCCTGCCCCAGAACGAGAACAAGATAGAGAAGTCAGTGATTCGAAGGAGAGTGTACTGAGGGGCAGCGACGCTGCCCCGGGAGGAAGCTCTGCTTCCTCCGTACTAAGTAAACTCTACAAGCATGGATACATGAATGTGGATGCTGAACCAATGACTTTCGATGAAGTTCGAAAACTGGCCAAGCAACTCGAGATACCCGACTTCGATGTGATGGAATTGGACAAGTACAAGAGACTGGCCAAAGAGTACAAAGAACCGGCGAATTGCATCATCTGGATACCCTTTGAAGACGGTGGTAAGCTCGGCCACTTCGTGTCTTGCTTCCGTGAAGACGACGGAACACTGAACTACCAGGACAGCTTTGGTGAGATGAATGACTTCCCGTTGACAGGTACGAACCGTGTGTTCCGTGTGAACAAAGTGAAATACCAGTCGATCTTTGCCAACAACTGTGGCTACTTGGCACTCCTTCACTTGTACACGCACGACGCTGTTGACCCAGCTATCCAGAGGGTGTAAGGGGAAGCGAAGCAGGGGAAGACGTAGTGTCCCCTACTGTAACTATTGTACTTAAAAGAGTTCAATACATAAATACAAATAGAAATGAAATTCGAAGAGATTGACTTCTACGACTACAAGATTCGTATGTGCCTTGATAATGGTATTCGAATGTACCTTGTCTCTGATCTGTTGAGACAGTACAACGAGAAGCACGGTACAAACAAGCGATTCAAACATTACCTTGAGAATAAGCAAACCCAAGAACTGATCGAACACATGGCAAAAACAGGTGGCTGGAATTCCAGCCACCTGTCAAACGAGGGTCTAGAGGGCCAATCTACAGTAGGTCGGAATTCCCACCCCCTGTCAAACGAGGGACTAGAGGGTGAAAATAGTGCCAAAAACGGTC